CTGACCTCACGGTTAACCCAAGCTTGCTAACACCAGAGGTGAAATTACAGGTCTTCAGATGCTCCTCCCACTTCTTCCGCTTATGTACGTTTACTAGTTGCCGAATCTCCGCGTTGAGATCCCTAATACGGGTTCGCCGGGATCGGCCTGACGAAGGCTATCACGCTCATCGGCTAGAACAGCCGCTTCGGCCGGGAAGTTTGGACGTGGGTCCCTTATACATCCTGCCGGTATGAAGCGAGCTGCAGCAGCAGTGACAGCCCTGCGGAACTTACGTTCACCGAGATGGACGTCGGTTGGTGTGGGAAGCGCTGTGAAGGTGTTTTCAGTAAACTCCGCGTAACCTTTCCTATCAGCTTTAGAGAAGTTGATATAGGTCCGGTGTTTGGCGGAGGCAAAGTCGGTTGGTTTATCTATCGAGATGACTATGGGTAGGTGGTCTGATGCCAAAGTCAGCATAGGTCGCCATGTGACGCTGTTTATCAGACCAGCGCTGACTATGGTGATGTCTGGCAAGCTGCTGCAGTTACCCATAATCCTGGTGGGTGCGTCGTCGTTCATTGTGCAGAATGTCGAATCGTCTATCTGCTCAGCCATGTCTGTTCCCCTACGATCGTTTGACAGGCTTGAGTGCCAAAGATCGTGGTGCGCATTAAAGTCATCTACTACCATACGGTTTTCACCTCTGAGGAGCGCACCTATATCAGGGTGATATCCTGCCGGGCAGCAGGTGACAGGGGATATGTATATGTTAAATATTTCGAGCTCGACATCGCCTGACTGGATAGCGATGCTTTGACATTCTAGGGTGGTATCCCTGCGGTCGATGTCTTCTTCGATAAGACGATACTGCACGGTGTGGTGCGTGATGAACGCTAAGCCACCACCATTATCTCGCTCGCGATCTCGACGGTGCACGTTGTACCCGGCGCAATTCAACAAAGTTGAATTGCTGTGCAACTTCGTCTCTTGGACCGCAGCTATCATTATACCATGCCGACACATGAAGACGGTTATCTCCTCAATCTTGCTCTGTAGCCCGTTGCAGTTAAATTGAAGGAGCTTCATGTGGTTCGGGAGACGTGTCGTGATGTGGGGTGTAAGTGAAGTTTATGTTCTTGCCGCCGTTGGCTGTGTGTGCTGCTGTGGTGATTGCCCCCCCGTGGTGGTGGCGGGGGGCGTTGCAAATGGAGTCTGCGACCGAGCAGCGCAACACGTGCCCTCGAAGTTCCCAGTCCAATCTCGCGTGGTACGCAGACCTGAGCATGCCCTAAAGTGGCACCAGCCAAGGCAGGTGTTGCACTTGACTGATGTCACATTACGGAATATCCTGGTCTAACATACCCTGCAGATTGTAGGGGGAACCAGGAGTTGTTGGCGGCGGCGTGTGGGTGGTGGTGCGGTTGTGTGGTGTTATTATGTTGTTGTGTTGTGGTGACTGTGCGAGGCTGCTGTGTGAGTGTGTGAGGCTGCTCGGGCGGACTGTGGTTAGCCGTGGAGGCTGCTAACCCGTAGAACCGGCTGTCGTGGGAATGTTAAAAAGTGTCGCTATGCACGGTTGCAATTTGTGGATATTTAACACGGTTGCATGAGGCAATTACGTAATGTTTCAAACCCATAACAACGTAATGATAGATTGTTATTACATGTTGTAAATTATAAATGATATATGAGGGATTCACAACAATGTTTTGAGAACTTGAAACAACTATTTTTTAATACTGCAAAAATTCATTATATGACTTTGATGGTACTTTCCGAACCCCTTAATATATTTTTTAGGCGATTAAAGTTTTCTACATACAATAATACGACACTTACAGTGTTCACTAAAAAACGAACAGTAATTTCGTCTTTTGTATAAATGCGACTTAACATTGAATACATCAGTAGGTTGTCCTTTTTCAGTCGCATCTTTGAGAAATAAACGCTTTAGTTATTTTTGCGAAAGTAATTGCATATTTAAGCAAATTTAACGATAAGTGCCATTTATAAAAAACGGTTTGAAGCATACTTCCTGACAAAGCATCCTAAGGGTCCAAAATGGAGTACAGATCAGGCCGCAAAATACATGGTAGCTACCTGGACTTTTGTTACAAGATGGTCTAAGCGCTGTGAAAAAACTGGAAACGTTGACGATGAACCAGGAAGAGCACCAAAAAAGAAGAGAAGAAATCCCTCCGTAACCTTGAGAGGAGCTCAAAAAAAGCTTTCCGACCGCGGAATAGAATTATCCCTTAATACAATTCGCAAAAGGTTACACGAAAGAAAGGTGGTTTACGCCAGTGTTCTGAAGAAACCGCTTTTGACAAAAACTCGAGTCGAAAAACGATTGATCTGGGCAGAGCAAAATGAAAACCGTGACTGGACAACTGTAATTTTCACCGACGAGTCTTCATTTTGGTTAAATAAGAGAGAAAGTCGTGTTTGGTCGGAAAAAGGATGTAAAGTTGTGCAGAGATCCGTTAAACATTCCGCAAAGGTTCACGTTTATGGTTGTTTTTCCGCAAAGGGATTCGGAAAGTTATTGTGCTTTACCGTCAACTTGAACGCGTCAAAAATGATCGAATTGTATAAAAGAGGTTTACGGATGTCTGCTGATAAGCTCTATTGAAAAAATAGTCGATACTGGGTTCTGCAAGAGGACAACGATCCAAAGCAACGGAGTCGACTTTGTACTGAGTGGAAACAGAAAAATGGGGTAACAACAATTGATTGGCCATCCCAGTCACCTGATGCAAATCCCATAGAAAATGTTTGGGCACTAATGAAGCACAAGATAGCTAGAAGAAATCTGACAAAAATAGAACAGTTGAAAAGAGCACTTAAAAAAATTTGGAGAGGCTTTACTACAGACTATGCGGTTAAATTATCAGAAAGCTGTACACGGAGATGTCAATCCACTTTAGATTGTAATGGTGAATGGATAAGCTATTAAATACGCTTTAAAATAAACATTGAATTTGTTTTTAAATTTGACCTTTAACACTTTTATTTATGCTCGTTCTTTAGTGAAAAGACTGTACGTTGTCCGAGTGTATTTATGCCCTGAATAAACCTAAGAAAAAAGCCATTATTTTTCAGGCGAAAAATAAAACTCAAGAAATAATTATTAAATGTGAATATTTAAACAAACTGGAAATTTAAAGCAAGTCCCATTCGTACTCTTTATCAGGTACATATCGTAGTTTAATATACACAACCGCGTATCGTCGTTCTGCAAAACCTCGTAACTGACATTTGTGCCAAAAAGTTATTTGCTTACCGGAAGCCCTTGGCATCAAGCACTTATCCATTTATACTTAAATATCGATACTTAGCTATAAGAAGAAGAGATAATTAGGGATAAAAGAGAGAACCGTTGTGAGATAGGACTAGCTTTACTCCCTCCTACAAAATCTTGACAACCTCACGAGGTTTTGCATTTTCGGTTTTGTACTTTAAACGACGATATGTAACTTGAGAATGGATATCTCTGCATCTTTTGGGCGCATCAGTATTACATAGTTGCATCCCAAGCTAATAAAGGCGAGGTCAAAACAGCTTCTCATAAAAATACAATCGCCGTTCCCAGCCGGCGTAAATCTGTAGGTTCCTCCGCCTTGTGTGACCACATCAAGACACACACTACAAATCGGCACCAGCACCAGTCTCAAAAAAAAAAAAAAATTGTAAATGCAACTTTATCCTCAATACGAATTTTCCAATCAAAATCGTTTGTATATTGAATTCCCCCAAAATATAAAGCCATTCCCGATTCCCCCAAACAAATTCGAATTCCACCGAAATCGGGGAATTCTCTGCCGGTTGGCATCATTGGTGTGGTGTCAAATCAGTAGAAGCAAAAACAAAATACACATAAGGCGAAGAAATCAGCTGATTAGTGATGTGCTGAATTGTTGGTACTCAATACTCGGTACCCGATACTTCAAAAATATTTCGGTACCCAATACTTCCTTTTCGGTACGCGATACCGATATATTTAAAGTTTGTTTTGTACGATATCGGCTAAAAACCTTGAACTTGTCGCAACAGTGGTATATTATTTTAACAGTTTTAACCTTAGTAGGTTCCAAGGTTCAAGGAAAATGCTTTGACGGATGAAGAAACCCATCAGGCCTACAGAGATAATGTCGTCCGATTCATCTAGAACGAAAATTATTCAAACAAGTAAGAGTTTCTCTGCATTATGGCAATGAACCGACATATGTATATAGATTTTTCATTGGAAATAGTATTAAAAGCTCTATTGGCCCCTAAATTTGGCTATAGGCGAGTCTCCCCTGAACCGTTTTTTCCCATATTTTTGGCCTATGTGAGCTTTTGTTAGAACTCTTAATATTTCGGTACCGAGTATCGGAATTATTGGATACTTTTTAAATCGGTACCGAATATCGATCAATACATAAAAGTATCGCCTCAGCACATCCTACAGCTGATCTAACAATACCACCTTGTAGGTATAAATTCGCCTTGCTTCTAACCACTACACCACAGTGGCCTATATACGAGTCCCAGTAGTGCGATTCTGAATCTTATTTTAACCACATTTCACGTTGTTATCTCTAGTTAACAACTTTTTTTGGGGTTAAGTGATTGTGTATCAACTTTAACCATATTTGTCATTGTTTAGTGTTAACAAACGCAGTCAGCTGTTTGGTGACAATTATTTTTGTGGTTAAGCTAACAGCATCTAGTTTTTCTTTGTTAAGCTGTTGTTTACTAATTTTGCTGTGAAGTTAAATTGAGAAAATTGTGAAGATTGTGTTAAAAAATGGCATTTGCATACATTGCATCATATTTATATGATACCGATAATGAGCAGCCATTAAACGTGCCAAGAATTGACCGGCGGACCGGATCAATACAGCCTATATTGCTGAAAATGTTCCTAAATCTATTACAAAACAACCAACCCAACAGCGCCCTTACTGTCCGGGCGTTTCGCTTTAAACCAATAAACAACAATTGAATTTGTGAGTGCCGGTGCTGTTGTGAAGGGTTATTCATGGATACCATAAAAAGAGATACAAAACTACATCAATGCTGTTGGCATAATACTCGCTTCTCTGCCTGAGAAATGTTGGAAGGCAAATGATCCCCATAGGTAAAATTGCGTGTTCTGTTTGGTATTATTTTCAAAGGAATGTGTATACATATTTCACCATTTCAGTGAGCCGCTGATACCTATGTGTCTTCAGTTGGTAATTGCATAGTTACTGCCGCGAGTGCGGTTCACAATGCTCTTTGCCGCATTCTTTTTGGCATGGTCGTTTGTTGAACCAGCCCACATAACAGACGCTCGTTTGGCAAGTTCTATTTCCGTTGCTTGATAATGTGCGTGCGCTTTCCAGTACGGGAAGCAGTGAGAAGGTGGATGGTGCTGCCTTGAGTAAAAATTGTGAAGACTCGCTGGCCGCACTAAAATCTCTGCAAGAAATTATGCATGACAATGCAGACAAATTGGCGTCACTTGCTAACGAGGAAACAGCGGAAACAAAGATGAGGAATTTGCAGGGTGAGTTGTGTTTAGCGGGAAGTTTAGTACCTTTTTAGATCTCTTATTCATTTCTTGTACGTAGATTGCATGGAATATTTGGCTAAATACCGGCATTGAAAGCACAAAGATCACAACGAAAAACAACCATGCCAAAGAGGAGTTTTATGTGCCTAGTCAGGCATTTTTAATAGCGCTAACACAAATTTTCTAGCACATACAACTGCGGGGGGTGATACATCATTGAATTCGAATGTCTTCACTGGGCGCTTGGCGGTTACTGCTTTACTACATCGATTCCAATACGTTTTGAAGCGTTTCAATGACGACGAACGGCTGATGGGCGCCGTGCAAGGGTCACAGTAGTTCATTCCGGGGTATTGGTCGTAACTATCAGTGAAGTGCACAGCTGCCAAATGCGCATTAAGTCAATTAAAGAACCAGTTTGATAACAAAGAAGGATCATACCACAACATTACCGGCACCCTGACACTTATTGAATAAGTACCAAATAAGTAAATACATATCGTCACCTGAAATGCAAAAAGACGTAACAATATCGTAAATGAGATTGAAAAAGTCGTGACTAATATTTTCATTATTTTTTTCATAAAATGATGTGGGAGGTTGTAACTCGTTCCATTCCATTATATAAATCAAAAAGTAAATTTTGAATTTTTTATTAGTTATGTCTTTTTGCATTTTAACAATGATTTTTGTTACGTCTTTTTGAGTTTCAGGTGACGATATGTTTTTCTACAAATTTAAAGCAAACATATTTTTAATGACTTAACAAATTTTTCACCACTTTATGTACTCTGAATGCATGTAGACATTGAAATAACTGGGGTATCGACATTATAAATTGATTGGAAATATCTACCCGATATTATTTAGAGTGGTCCACGAAATAATAGGAATGCGATATTTTGACTCCTTTTATTTTGTGCACAACTGTTATGTACATGCACAACTGTTATATAATGCATTATTTCAACTCATTTAAAAGTTAAATACGGCATTAATTGTAACTTTTTTGTTGTAAGTTTGTTGTGGAAAGAAAAACTTATTTAACTTTTTATATTTAGAAAAATATAGTGATAACTTGACACACGTAATAAAATTGTTGTTTTGAATCATAACCAAATTACATATATTCAACTATAAGTACATATTTAAGTTTCACTAGAAAATTTCAGTAGCCGGTAAGAAAACTAATAAAATAAAAGCAAACTATTTAGCCTCAGTATTAACTTTTTTTATTAATTCTTCTTTGATAAAATAAATAATATATGTAAATAAAAATATGCATTAAATGCTGTTATACATATTAAATATATAAAACGAAGTTTTTATTAAATTACCATTTCATTTATTTCAAAATCAGTACAATAAAATTAAATTAGTTAATAATAGCCACCAAAGCTAAATGAAAATAAAATAATTCATTAAATAATTAATACGGTGATATTTTTTTTAATATTCGCAATGTTTTTCTTGCTATATATTTTTGTGAATTTTTTGTTTTGTTTAAAGAATGTCTCCTATTTTAACAAATGCTATACAAATCTAAGCTTCACACTGTATATGTACATAATTTAGAAGTATTCTGCTAAGTTGCATCCAAATGGCAAGATTTTTAATAAGCATTTCCAAAAAAAAAGTATGTATCCATCCCAATTTTATTATGATAATGTGCAAATTTGAAATGTCTGAAAATGCGCGTTGTTTTATACTAATTTTTTGCTGTCCTATGCATTTTTACCATATAAAAAATGATTGAAAATGCTTTATATGGAAAAAATGCACAGGACAGCAAAAAATTATTAAACAACCCAAATTTTTAGACATTTGAAATTTGCAAATTATAATAAAATTGGGATGCATACATACTTTTTTTTGGAAATTCTTATTAAAAATCTTGCGATTTGGATAAAACTTGGCAGAATACTTCTAATTTATGTATACAGTGTGAAACTTAGATTTGTATAGTATTTGTTAAAATATGAGCCATCCTTTGAAAAAAAACTGAGCAAAAATTTATAGCATAAAAAACATTGCGAATATTAAAAAAAAATGCGTATACTCAAGGCACGAACACTTATCACTATAAACAAATTCAGAAAACAAGATTCAACTAAGAACAATTCATTTGAAAAACAAAAAAGTAAAAAGGCACCAACAAATAAGTTAATAATAATCTAGCCTATTATTAATAAAAATATGTATATACATACAGCCCGCGACAAAAGATAGCACATCAAAATTTTTACCAGTTTTGACTACTTTTCTGTGCTTTTTTAAGGTTCATAAATTTTTTGTTAAAGTTAAGCTCCTTAACTAACAAAACCAATATAGGTCCAAATTAGAGACTTTGTACAAAAATTATAGAAATTACATAAACTTTTCGTCCCCTCTTAAGCATTATAATTTTAATTTATAGAATAACTTGCACTTTATTATTCTAGAAATCAAAATTAAAATGCTTGGAATTGTGAAGAACAGTTTGTGGAATTTTTGTAATTTTTGTACAAAGTCTCAAATTTGGACTTATATTGGTTTTGTTAGCTAAGGAGCTTAACTTTAACAAAAAATTAATGAACCTTAAAAAAGAAAAAGAAAAGTATATACACAAACAATTTATATCTATTGGGGAGGGCCCAGTGAATTAGTAAACTGGGCGAAAGCATGCGCACAAGCTTTCACCCCCTCCGCCAACACCGTGAAGGCCTCTGCCATTGTTGCAGTTACGGTAGCCATTCGCTCTGTGGCAGCAGCCATTCTGCTTATTGCCTCAGCATTGGAGCGGTTGGCCTCCGCGTTGGTTGCAGCACTTTCAGCAAGCCTCTAAGAAAATAAAAGTTCTATTAATAATTCAATACAAATACAGTATTGAAAAAATTACCTTTTCTGATTCGGCCTGTGCCTCGGCAATTCTTAAAAATTTCGCCTTTGTTGGCGATTCTTCCGCACGTTTCCGCTTAGCGGTTCTGCGCGGTGTTTGCCTCGGCGTTTTCGGAGTTTCGCACCGAATTTCCGACTCGCTATCCGACACCGTTAGTGGAGGAATTACCATGGTGTCTTCCTCCATGACTAAGCGGAAATTTTCATCCGCCGCCCCCAATGTTAATTGCAGTTCCTAAAAATAGCATAATGAATATTGCAATATGATTAACATATTGGCATGGGCTTTTAATACGGTACAATTCAACTTACCTCTTCCATGGGAATATTCTCCTGGACATCCGGTTGCCCCTCCATATAGCTGCTTCCCACTAGAGCTACTACCCGCTTCTCCAATTCGTTCAAGGGAGGCTGTTGAAGCGGTATATTCCCCGTCAATGCTTGCTCCCTCTTACGATCACGAACTCGCGTCGATGTTCGACTTTTTAGGTCGCGCCAGACCTTTTGCAAAATAGAAACACACTTTCATACTTTACTATTCTTTGGTGTAGGCCGTTTTCGGAAATGCCTTACTGCAAAGCACCTCTCCTTATACTTAAGTATATAATGATGTCTGATTTCAGCAAACATATTTTTGGAATAAGAGGTGCGATGTTTTGCAGTAATGCATTTCCGGAAATGCCCGTACTTCATCACTTATACTTACATTTTGCCATTGCTCCACAGATTTGGCAGCCCCCCCAAGAGAATTCAATTTATCTGCCATCTCTGCCCACTTCTTGGTGTTCTCCAACTTGCCATGGAGCTTCTGGAACTTGCCGCTCGCCACATTCGGGTTTTCACCCAGAAAGTCAAGCATCGCGCTCAACTGCTCCCCCGATGCACGGCTCCTTTTCGTCGGCTGGATAGACATCCTGAAATAAAAGAAGTTCTAGTAAATTCCAATTAATAACTAAAATAACTAAATACTACCTTTTAAAATTGCAATACGTTGCTGGCGCTAAAAATTCCGTTTCCGCGGGAAGGAAATAAGTTTTTTTTCTTATTCCTCTTTGTACTTTTCGCATATTTGACATTTATCTCGACTGAGATGCCACATTTCATCATTTTAAATAAAAAGGAATAATCAGCTGTTTTTCGCTGTTAAGCAAGAGTTAGAGAATCACACAATTGTTAGTGCAAACGGCAAAAGTTGTTATGTAACCTAACAATTTTTTTATTGCTAAGAGTTACAGAATCGCACTACAGGTCATGCTGAGTCCGCAAAAAATTCCGGAATAGCGTCTGGAAGATGCATCAGACTAGGCCGAGTATATTTTGAAGTCCCATCTAATTAAAACTTATGAAAGTTAAATTACATGGCAGTTGAGAAGTGCATGTGCAAAAATTTCATAAATTGTATAAAGGAAATTTTTGCACATGCAGCAGTATATAGCATGAGCCTGATGTTAGAAGTTGCGCCAGTTTATATTGATAGGAGAGCATGTTTTTCTATTAAGGGTGAAGGCTATTTCTACACATTTGATTTTATTACCTTTTATTCTTAATTTCGAAAACCACAGATCGAGGGTATTTATGTGCTTTTGAAAAATTGCGGAAGGGAAGATAGCATTTTCGTGAATACATAAAATTGCAGTGTCGTCGGTAAACGTTGAAATTGTTTTCTGACTTGAGGTTGGCTCGCCAGATTTCTAAAGTAAATTCAGTACTGGGCCTAGAACACTGACTTTGGGGACAGCCGCATTTATTTTGCATGGTCGATATATGAAATCTATTCTCTTTACCACGAATTGTCGGTAGTTTTGCAATAACATATGTGTGCTTTCTGGTAACAGCGCTGTTATTTTGTGAATAAGGCCCATATGCCACACTTTATCAAATGCTTAGGAAATGTCTAGGAACAGGGCACTGCAAAATATTGTTTCTCGAAGGATTCTTGTATAAGGGAGACAATACGATTAACATGTTCAACTGATCTGTGCTTTGCTCTGAATCCGAAATGGTGCTGGGGCTTTTTTTTGATTCGTTAATGACTGGAGTGATCTATTTTATTAACTTCTCAAATAGCTTTGAAAGTATTTCCAAAATGCGACCTGGGACTTTTGCGGGTTTGGCAAGCATAGTTATCTGGGACAATTTCCATGCTTTTAGAAAGTAACCAGTTCAACAAACTGCTTTAAATAAAAGCAAAAAATGAGTTCCTTCATCATTTAGGGGATATTTTATTACATCCGGGTACCTTCTTTATCTCCAATTCGTTTATGGCTGTGGTAACATCCGGCCCGGCCCGGCCACACAGAAAGCGGTCCGCCGCGGCGGGAAGCGATATACGACCGAGGCGCTCAGGCGGTCTGGTTGAATTATTCAGTTTTGAATCATCTCTGCCGCACAGGACGCGGTGTGCCGTCTTCCGCTAGTCTTTGTCGCGGCGACGAACGATCCGGTTGTACAGAATTACAGATTTCCCGCGTGACCTCTTTGCTAGCTTCGACAGCTTGTTGTATGTGATTGCCAGTAGAATTTTAAACGCTGCATCCGAATCCATGTCAGGATTTTGAGATACCTTAACCGAAAAGTGCGATTTTTTTTTTACCTATTTGAGTATGTAGTATCTTCAACAAATTTTTTCACAGAAAACTGTGAAACTGTGTTTTGCACTTGCGATTTAGATTAGGATATC